CACTTGCAACCGCGCCGCGTCTGCGTCTCTCACCCGCGCGTGCTCTCACTCTCTAGCCTTAGCTAGGTCACGAAGCCCAGCCTTCCAGCCGCCTATCTGGTTGAATCAAAAGGTATACTACACACATAAAATATTCATGTGGGCACTTGCGTATTTTTCTGTAATGGCGAGAAAAGGCTAAATAGGCTCAAAATACAAAAAACCGCCTTTTTTGGGTTTTTTGTGTTAAACTTGCTATTTCTCGACAAATAACGTTTCGCGAAAGCTGAAAATTCATTGTTATATGGTCGGCTCCCAAATTCATGTGGTGTCAGGTTGCGGACTTTCCCTGATTTCAAGTTTGAACTCGTCAAACCTCCATGTTACAGCATTGTTTTTCGTACTCTCTTGTTGAACTTATCCTTACAATCGGGGAAAGTCCGCAAATCGCCTCCACACGAATCTGGGCGCATACTTCCAAAGGTTTGCAGTAGGGATTTTTATATGTCAGGACAACACAGCATTGATTTTGCTGGCGCCGATTTCATTCTCAATTTCTAGCAATGAAAAAAATACAGCAAGAGGACGTGCATAGCTGATACCATAAGTACTTCTTGTGAGCAATTTAAAGGTTTGTAGGTTTTATATGAACAGAGATCCGATTTTTGGGCATTTGGACTAGAACTTTCTTCTCATCTTATTGCGTATCAAACTTTTCAAGATTATTTGAACACCATCTAGTGGAGCTTGCTTTGCTTTATCGAATGATATGTTCATAGATTTTTTTACCTTTTCTGTCGCTCATGAATAAGTAACAGGCATTGATTATGCATCAGCCTGATATATAGTAGCCCCTTCCCTCTCCCTTTTCCTAGTTCATCTCTCTTTTTCTCCTTTCTTTGCCTTTTCTCTCCTTTCTTTCATATTTTGTTTCCCACTCTTTTCTCCCCCTTTTTCCTAACCTTCACCATAGATTTGCGGCACATTGATACCATTCAGATTCTGACCGTGACGCAATTTCTGCTTCCTTCTGAATGCGGAGAGAAGGTCACACTGGGTTTGACGGTACTTCTAGCCTACTCCGTCTTCAGCTTCAATATTGCCGAAAGTATGCCGGAAACATCCGAAGTCATTCCTTTGATCGGTAAGTTGAAGGATTTTCTTATTTGTCAAAGCGAGCTACTAAAGAAGATCCGGGAGTACGCTACCTATCTTTCTTCAGCCATCTATCTTATGGCCATAATGGGCATCTCTGCGCTGTCAGTCAGTTTCTCGGTATTTGTTTTGAACCTTCGCCATGGTGCGGATTATTCGGACAGGTAGGTAAGGCGCATGAATTTATAACAATATAGGGTAAAATCAGCAATAGAGACTCAGTGACAAATCACTTGACCACAGTGACGGGAGCCTTTATTACAGTTATAAGAATATGCCACTCTCGCAGCGCTGTATAATTGACAAAGCACTGACAAAGTCAGTGAGCACAGAGAAGGGAATTTCCGCCGAAGCGAAGCCGACTGCAGTCAAAGTGCGGCAAGACATGTCGAAAACTGCAGTGCTTCCGTAGCATCTTCATCTTCACAACATATCCTCAAATATTCATATTTTACACAGATGGCAACAAATACCAGTGGCGGTCCCGGAGCTTTGGGATGTGAACGACATTTTTTCCAAATACATTTTTTCCAAATGCATATTAGCCATTCCCTTTTTTTAAAGCTGATTTCGGCTGTTACAGAGTTTGAAAAACCAATGTTACACGTAAGAACAAGTCACACACAACTTTACAATGCTAATAAAGTAGTTCCAAAAACTTGTAGCCCTCTCGACTCCCCCTCCCCCCGTGCCCTCTTAATCTGCTACTGATCTGATAAATACGTCTATAATTAGCGCTTATTAGCCGCAGTTTTTCTTTGATGTTTTCTTCGTTTCTCTTCCATTTTTCGTTGATAGATTGCTTCCATGTATGTACTGCGTTATGTACGTTTTTCTTTCAAGAGAATGTTCCAACCTGCCTAGCTGCATTGTCTGCCGACCTAATGTTTTAGCTACCCTTTCTCTCATTTCAGTTTAATTTCCACTCTCGTTTCAGGGGACGAATCTATAGCCACAAGCAGAGGAATTTGATATTAGCTAGAAGAGGAACTTCAAATTCTCCCAACCCCTGCTTAATGTCATCTTTTAACTGCTGTACTGCTCTTTACAATTAGACTGGTATGCAGCCATTTTAGTTTCTTAAGTTACAGTAGCAACTGCTCAACTTTTAATTGTATATAGAAGTAGCAGCTCGTGCATATTCAAAAGCACCGTAGGACCAAAATTCTCCTAAAAAAGTATTCGTGAACCTCAATTATAAAGAGCATAGCCCTTTGCTTCTTTTTTAGGTTGCTTCTCGAGCATAACACAGCCAACATTTTGCCGAAGTTATGGCACAAAAGGCCTAAGGTAAAAAAACGCGCTTTTTGGGCGCTTCCAATAAACGAAGTCTCTCATTTCTCTCGAATAAAAAAGTCAAAGCATGCTTATAGTCATACAGTTAGTGGCATCTTCCCTTGAGCATCCCGAACGAGTATTCTTGGCTTTTCCGGCGGCTCCACTGTATAGATAGCAATCTACACCTTTTTAATCTCGTACCACACTTTTTTAATCTCGTAATCCCTCAGATTTTTCTGGGAAAGATGAGCAAGACGCGACAGGATTTCTCTTGCGAAAACAAAAAACTTTCTGAAATTCCAGCGTGAAGCGGGCTCACGTTTTCTGAATTATTAGAGAGTGACGTCAATCAGATCCTGGAAAAGTTGTGCAAAGTCGAATTTTTAGCTTCAGGGAGCTTCACTCGTGTAACGAAGTTATGCAGTTGTGGGGAAGGGACTGGGACTTTTTCATTTAAAGAATTAGTTGATAGTTCGGACTATCTCCTTGAATAAAACACTGTACTGTTGAGTTTTTCATGAACTATCCAAAACCAGAAAAAACAACTTTCATAATGATATTCTTGCCGCAAATTTGGATATATAGATCTAATATGCTTTTAGGTTGAAAACGAAAAGAAAGAAGGACGGAAAAACCATTCAAAGAAGATCAATGATGAAAGCACTGCTCACATTCATAATAAAAGAAAAGTTCGCTGCGAAGAGTTTTGATGTCGTACGCCGGAAGCATTCTCGTTTGACTCTACCAACCATGGGAAAGCCACAGGAAGAATTTGTGATTTTTTACGGATGACTTTGACTGTACCCTATGGTTCAACGAAATAGGCGGCTGGAAGGGCGACCGCTTGCACATGTATCGCATCTGCGTCTC